GTAATAGGTTGCGTGCCCATGCTGGGAGACGTTCAGAATATCGAAATATCACGTTGTCAACGTGAGATCCCGAGTCCACATTCATTCGCCGGCATATAGTTTTGAGCACGGCAATCAAGTTGGTGAGGTCATTGTGGGCTGCACTCAAATTGGTGGTCGAGATTTTCATGACCTTTTCGATGCAGTGGTGAAGTGCCCGTGACTTCTTGAATCTGTGGTTCATATAATGTTGGTGGGCATCCTCTAAAGATGTTATGTTCGTAGGGGTCGCATATGCTTGTCGCATTTTTTTCAGTAGCATCTGTCTGGATGTGTCCCCGTATTTGGCCATCAAGTTTGTGAACCATTCGTCGCAGGCCAATTCCGTATCCGGAATTGGTTCTAATCTGATATGTGCTTCAGCCAACGTTTCATTAGCCAGGCTTTGTTGGTTGTTCGCAAAGTGGTACTGGTTGGTCACCATTGCTTGCAGCAATTCGTGCTGTTGCTTCATCATCGCCGCTATGATGTCTTTGAAGTCTGTCATGTCGTTTTGAGCTGTCGCCATGTTTTGTTAAGGGCTACTAGTCCGGTCTCAAAAAGTGTGTGTTTGTACACACACGGTATCTATAAGGCTATTTCACATTAAAAGAAGACGGGCGTGAAAAATACTATGGTGTATCAGGGAAGGAACATTGACGCAATCAAGCACTCCTCATAAATTGACCGCAAGCTGACCTCTCGCCACCCTGGTATCTGATTCAGTCACGGCATCCGGCATCATCGTCGAACCTTTCGTATTTCTGACCCGGGAAATTTGAAATGTTAAACTTAGCACTGCTTCGTTTCGATCGAAGGACCTTTGGGTTATGAGCCCAACACTCTCCCACTGAGCTACAGTGCTAAAACGATAAAAGTCCAGGCGCCACTAGGTAACATCATGAACCAGGTGCCTTGACTCAAGCGGTAGCTGCATGCAATTCGGCCAGCTTCTGTTCCACCTTCTTCATAAGCTCATTATAGTCCGTATTTAAACAGGCCAATTCATTTCGTGCAATTAAGATTCCGTGAACATCGATATCGTTTCTGGGGTAACCATCGGGGGTGTCTAGTCCACCTTTCAAACCCGGCATACCCGGCGCTACAACGACACCTCATTTACCCTGGGATGCTTGGGGAATATTACCTGTTAAATACTCCGTGAGCTCCTTCGCTCGCTTTTCCATCCGCATCCTCTCTTCATCAAGCTTTAGCAATTCCTGCTCGGACATGGGTCCTCCCTCCCTTTAGATAAAAAAGTTGTGGCCCGGACAATAACCTCGCCACGCCCTCTCCTCCCTTCCCTCCTGTTCGCCTCATCTCGTGTCATTTTTCCCGTGACGATAGGACGGACTTTTGCTCCAGTGCCACATGACTTTCGAAAAAAAAGTGGAAGAGCTGAACAGTACGTGTCTACACAGTATGTGTCTACACAGGTCGCGTCTATGACAGCCTGGGTCCATCGCAGGTCTGCGTAATGTCGCTGTGACATCACTGGGATGTTCTTGTTGACTTCCATTGTCTGCCCGCCCCATGTGAAGAAGTCTCTTTGGTGCAGGGCTATTAGTTGACTACCATGCAAGGAGCTACAAGGTCCTGAGAAAGCCCTTGCTGGTCCAGTCGTACGTGAAAGTAGACGACCTGGTTCGAAGGGCGGAACAACGGTTTAGAGAGGCGAAAGAAAACCACATACGGAATGAAGACCTGCCTGGTAAGTGGCAGCTGACGCCGCCGGGTGGAGATCGTCAGGAGGTCCACGACGGCTTCAACGCGATGCTGTATGCCAAGATCTTCCTGATCATTTTCATCCTGGACCTGGACTCCTCTTACTTTTCTATCGTCGCCGTCATCTTCTTCCTTCATGCCAACGGCGCCTTCGGACCCTTCCGGCGGCTGTTCACTAGAATCGCTCAAGTCAGCCACCCCGTCCCGTGCCCCATTCCTTTCCCGTCCCATTCCCATCCCCAACTATGTGCGTTCAGGGATGGAACCGGCGTGTCGTGGTTAATAATGAAAACAACCAACAAGCCTCGATATTCTCGAGAACCACAGCCGTAATCACGGCCTTCGTGCGGACCCTCTTGCCAGGCTAGTCTTTCAAACCCGGTTAACTTCCATTCGGAACCCGCTTAACTTAAGGGATTGACCAGAAGCTAGCTACTCATTTGCTAGCTACTCACTAGGGCGGCTGCTGTTGTGGTGGTGCGGATAAGAGGCTGGGTTTGGTTTGTAGAACTTTTGGTAGGCTGTGGTGTGCAGTTACTAGGTGGGTGGTTTGTTCAACCACAGGGTCAACTACAGACACATCAACTACAGGCACTCCCGCACACGTTTACTTAGTGCTACATTGGTAGTTTTTCGAACTTGGTGCAGTGGGTGCGTAGTAGATTCTCGACAGGTCCGGGGCTGCCTCCGGTGAGTTTGCTAACAACTTTCATGCCGAGAAAGTCGAGACCAGAAACGGGTCCATCATTTTTTTGTAGTTTCAGAAGGACGAATGTCGGTACCGCCGTGGCGACCCGTTTAAGTTCCGGTGCGGCTGAGTCGATGTCTACATTTACAAGGAGGAACTTATAGCAGTAGCGTAGTAGATCAACGAAGGGTGCAACTTGTCTACAAGGACCACACCATGTTGCTGAGAACTTAATCAGTATGTAACGATCTTGGTCTCGTTTTAGAAAAGATGGTCCGCTCGTCGCATAACGTTCAATAACACTCTTCAGACCCGGCAATTGCGACACATCCTCCTTAGGTGATACAGCACCTACCTGTTCCGCACGACGTCGTTTCGCATCATTCCCACGAAACTCCTCAACAGCAGATGACTCAGATGAATGTTGTAAGTAGCCTGTCACCAATCGGTAGCCAAAGAACGCAAACAACAACAACTGAAACAGATTGCCCAAGCATATGTTTCCGAAACATAGGAAGCCCATCGTCCAATTTTATGCCGGTCGATTTTTCCGTCATGAAACCCACCGCCAGAGTCGATTACCACCACCAGAGTCGATTACCACCGCCAGAGTCGATTACCACCGCCGACCCCCCCCC